CTTTGTGAGTGCTAAAATATGCATGTGAAAAGGTGTGGGTTCTTGACTCTTCATCTAGTCAATGACTACTTTACACATTCCTCTGGTACTGTGAATTCAAACATAATGAGTTTCATTGGGTTAATCCCCCGTGAGCAGAGCAGTACAAACATCAAATAGCATGGAATGCTAAGGAGAGTTTTAAATGGTTACTGCTAGTGCTACAAGGGCATATTGCCACTAAAAAGGGGTTCACTCCTTGAGAAAGGATTTCAAATGTGTCAGTAAATAAAGATCTGGGGGAAAGGACAGGACGGACCTGCAAATGCTCTTCAAAGGTAAGGGGGAATTAGAAATGACCCTCATCAAGCCATTACCCCTGGTCTGTAAGTGCTGTGTGGGATTCCTTATATAACAGAACATGGGACAATTAGACTTTTTAAATATATCGGATGAAAGGTTGCCAAAAGAGAATGATAATACCTGACTGCTCAGCCTGAGTAAGCCTGTGTCTAATAAACAGCTTCTAGTTTAATGGAGGCAGAGCATGCAAAAACATCTTTTACAAAGTGTGGGAGAATAAAACTGTTTTAATGAAACATCTTGATTATAAATTGGGAGTGTAACAGTGATGTTCTGAATGAATTTATATAGCTTTGTTTTAGTAACTTTGCATTTTTAAGATTGAACTTTTTATTCTAACTCCATGTTTGGATTTCTGGGAGGTCCCCAACTAGAAAACATTGTGAAAACCACGTGAAATTGGTCATTTCTCACTTATTCCACCTTTCTGCCTTTCTCCGTTTGTTAATATATGCTGAAGTCACTTAAAATAAAAAATGTTGGATTTGAAGCTAAAATTTCTGCAGGAAAACATGAAACCTTGAGAGTTCTAGGGTAGAAAAGTTGCTTCAGGAAGAAATTAGCGTCTCTTGCCCAGTAACTGAGTTTATACTGGACAGAATAGACTACGTGTCATCAGCTTTCAGAAAACCTAATTGCTATGGAGGAGTTGCGAGTCTTGATTACAGGAGCTCTTTGAGAGCTGCATACTTGAAAACCAGCTGAAACAGCCTGCTTTTTTTCAGGGGCCTTGCAGCTGAACTTGCGTTGACTCAATTCAGTTCAGGGTGGATTATCTCTGGCTTTGTATCACCCTTTTAAGTAGGGACTGCTGATCTTCACTTTCTCCCTAAAAATGTATCTGTACACATAGAGCCCTCAATGCCAGGTTTAAAGAGGGTGTTAAAGGCTTAATCTGAGCTTGAGGGGAGGGAGGCAGCAAGCAGGGTAGTGCAGATTGGGAGGTGCTATCTATGAGAAAGGCTTTTAACTGTGTTGAATGGAATTACTACATTCCCCTAATAGGGAAGGAGGGTAGACCCAGTGCTGGAGGACTGGCAGCCCCAGTGGCTAGATCTAAATTTTCAAGCCTCTTTGGGCTCCTTCATGGCTTGTCTGAACTCTGCTTTAGTTCCCTTATCTCTGTGGTAGAGATGAAGACGGCATAAGACTCTTCAACTTAAAACTTAAATATCTCCTGATGGAAAAAACCAAGAGTTTAGTAATTTTAAAATCCACTTTAATACGAGAGCATAGCTTCTATCTCATTGTGTGCCCAAGAACTGACTCAGACTTAAAATATCTGCTTGTTTTGAATTCAAGATAATTCAGTATTTGAGTTACAGATTTCTACAGAGCTGCTTAAGACTAGAATCAGGAGTGATTTCCTTAGAAAGGAGAGGTGGTTGTTAATAACATAGCCATTACACAACATCATGTGGACAAAATAGAAATAGTTAAGGAAAAATGACTGCTAGCCACCATGAAGATCAGTATCAGATAGGAGATTTCTACTCAGGGAAGCTTTTCTGTCCACCTGCATGGTTGCTGGCAGAACCAGAGTCCTGATCAGAGGCATCCTCGTGACTGCTACTACAAGTTGTAGCGAAAGGCCTGAGGGAAAAAGTATTTAGCACATGAACTTGTAGATTAGAATCTCAAATAGCTTAGCTTCTTATCTTCCTGTGATAACTACAGGGCAAGGCTGCAGCAGAAGATAGGAAAGTCAGATCTCTGTGTGTGGAGTACAGGACATCAGGCACAGGGCAACAAACCCTGTTCTTTTGGAATCACTCTTAAGAGGAGAGCGCTCAGGGAAGCTTGTATCTAGCCTAATAAAGCCATAGAAGAGCAGGAGTGAATGTGATCTTGAACAAAGTTAAAGCTCTCTGCCATTTGGGCTAACTCAAACCTGTCAGTTGGTAGAGATGTTGCATTGAAGCCTTCCCAGTTCTGTCCAAGAGTAAAGGTATGCATGGCCTGCAACCCTTGTCCACCTCTGCTCTGGGACTATTTGTGGTGAGATGCGAAGGCCTCTTTACAATTGGAGAGCTCTAGCCTGGTAGGCAGGAGGTGGCTTTGACGTTACGGCTCTGTTTGTAATCTTTACCCAATTCTTGTTGTGTAATGTGTTTATACCTTGGCCTTTGGGTGGTTATGGCATCTGTTAGCCTGCTGGAAGCAAAGACTTGCAGATTGCGTAATGGAGGAGTGTTCATGCAGAATTTTGGTTAAACTATGTGGTTAAAGTTTTAGCCATTGCCAGATAATGTTTTCTTTGCTGCTTCACTCAAGAACGAGGCAGGGCCTGACCTTGCCCGGCCTCTTTTCTATCCCTGGTATCCACAGTTCTCTCTTCCCTGCTCTTGGCCTGGCACCCCAACCCCTCTCCCTTTCTTTCAGTTCTCTTGGGGCTTTTCCTGACCTTAGGAGGTTCCTCTTCTCTATGGCACTTCCCAGCCCTGTCAGGCAGAGCTGCTCAGACCCTGTGTCCTCTGTCTGATGCTAGCTAGCCCCCCTCCTTGGGGGGGTGGTCTTTTAATTCAAAAATAATAGTATATTTAAATAAGGTTATGAAGACTGTGACACATCTGAATATAACTCATTTGGGTTGCTCATCCAGGTGTAACTCGACTTGCTGTTCCTGCCTTTCTGTCCATATAAACTAAGACAGAGTATCAGGCTTGGTTTTAAATTTCTTGGTTAGCATTGGCCTTTGGGCCTCTACGAAAATATGAAGCAATCATATTGCCTTTAATGGCCTTATAGCCCCTCTCTCTTGAAGGCCCGTTGCCACTGCCAAGCAGCACTGTGTGACTGCAGTGCAAGGTTTCAAAGGGCTGGATTTGGCAAAGATCTGAAGGTTAAAACGAACCTCAGAAGACAATAGGCAGGGGAGTCTGAGCCTCAGGTTGTGTGCCTGCTGGCAGGCATGCAACGATTGTTCTGAACACTCCTGGAAATAAGCTGTAGCGGAGACCCGACTTTTGAGCAGAGGCTATTCCTATAATGCACCTGGCCAGGACACAGGGCAAATAAAGATAGGTTAGAGCACGGATATCTGCAGGCTCCTGGTCTATCTCCCGATTGCCGCATGACAAACAAAGTGCCTATTTGGCTCTCTGCTGTGCCCCAGCTAGGAAGGCAGTAAGGTCTGTGCAAGGGATGCCTCCCACTGGGACTGGGCCCCAAAAGAGGTCAAGGAGCTTATGGGAATTCACCTGGAGGCCAAGGTAGAGAGGACGGTTCTCACCTGAGCTGGCTCTCTCTGCTGTTGCAGAAGAGAAAGCTGCAGACCTTTAGATCTTGCATCTGCTTCTTCCCCAGCAGGATCAACCTGATACAGATGCACTTTTACTAGGAGTGTTCACTTTTTCTGGCCTACGGGTCTGTCTCCCTTGCTTGGTCCCAGAGGCCCAGCTGGAGGAAGACACTGTAGGGTGCTGCAGTGCAGGCGCAGTGTATGGCAATCGGCTGCCCCTTGCTCACGTGCAGCCGGGGCACTTGCTCCTGCCCCCATAGGTGCATGTCACGTCCTTGCTCTGGAGGCTGCCAGCCGGCTGGGGACTATGCCTGCAGTGTATGAGGCGGGCTGGAGGGCCCTTTGCAAGGCCTGAGTGCTCACCAGCAGCTGGGCACTGGGAGCTGAGTGCTTAAGGGTCTCAGAGGTGTTTGTGAGCATCATCCAGATCCAGAGATGAAAGGTAAGCACAAAGGTGCCATCTGAGACTTCCCCTTCTCCTCTACTGCTCTCAGTATACCTTGCCTGGCCAGGTGATAGCTCCGTACTGTCATCTGGCAGCTGGGCAGGCCCGGTCATGGAGGAGGACTGGAGCCCCAGCCAGGAGCCTATGGGTTAACACACCGGCTACTGGGCTTGGGTCACCTCAGGCTCACAACACAGCCCAGCAGAGAGAGGCCTTCAGATGAAACAAAAGTGCCTTCTGCCTAGCTGGGGCACAGATAAAAGATCCCATGGCATTTCTTGTAAAGCCTGGAGGAGACTGCCAGTGCTGAAGCTGGACTCTCTCTGCCAACAAACAAAACTGTCTTTAAACTCTGAGGCTGTGTGCAAGCTATTGTTGGGGACATAAAGGCTTCTCTGTTTCCCTGCACAGTTGCTGCTCTGCAAACATGCCACTGGTCTCTTTTAAATGTAGTTGAGTGTAAATCAAGTACTGAACCCGGAAAGAGGTTTCTTCCATTTATCTTTCACTGCCCCAAGTTGAAATTGTATACAGAACAGGACACGTGGTAGATTTACATCCTGATTTGAGCTGAATTACTTGGAGATAGGCATCCTTAATGCTACACTCACAGGTAGAGGGTTTGGACAGCAAACAGCTTTCTCCCCATTGGAAATAACAGGAGTGGGGATGAGGCTGAGGGGGCAGTGCTTGCTAATCTCCGCCTTCTGAGAAGCATTTCAGTCTGGCTGGCTTAGCCTGTTTCCTCTAGCTAGCTCAGTGCTGGCACACTCGCTGCTCCCTAATCCTGCATGTGCTGCTGCAGCAAGGCACGAAATGCTGCTCTGACTGTTGGAGTTTGCTCTGCTTTGGGCTATTGAATGTCCACGGAGAGTGGGAGTGGTAGCTGTGCTTTTCACCCACAATGCCACGGACTGGCTTGTCTCTGAGGACAGCAGATGCTTCGGTGAGGTAAAGGGTATCTTGCCTATTGCAAAAGTACAGTAGTCATGGTGAAAACCCATAAGCTGTACTATGCAGGGGAAAATCGGTCCCTAAGGTGGTATGATGACTTTGGGTCTTTCTGCTGAAACAGTCCTGTAATGGGAAAGGAAATGGGTCAAAGAATAGGTTTTCAAGCTGTATTTCATGAAAAATCAGTCTCAACAAAGTGGCAATGACTCTCCATCCCTCCAGTAGCTCTTGACTCATCCTGGTGCACGTCCAGAATAAACTTGTGGCAGAGCTCCTTGGCATCCTGTGCTGATCCACAGGTGAACAGTAACATCATACAGCCCGAGAGTGTGGATGAGGTGCAAGGCGGCTGTGTGCAGCACTGGGAAGCACGGAGACGTGAGCACTGGACATCGTCTTCTAAAAGCAGCAAGCTCATTGGAAAGGTGCTCTGACCAAGGGCCCTTGTACAGGAGTGGGTGCTGTCCTTGCACTGGAGTGAGCCAAATAGGTTGGCCAAGGTCGCTTGCTAGTGACAGAAGGTGTGTGTTGCACTGATCAGTGACAACCTCCTGGGCAGGGGCTCCTTCACAGGAATGGCATTTAGAAGGTTGCATGAAGCTAAAGCTCTGAATTTTTCCACTAAATATGACATGAGTCATTACTACAATTATATTCTGCTTTTTGGATTTGCCTTCTCACCTATGAAATTGCTGCTTTTTTTGGTGTATGAGATTACTTGTGTGCTACAAAACAGATTCTCACCTAAGTGGTAGCTACTGGTTTGCTTATACTGTAACACTTCAGAGCCATTATTCATGGGCTTCTAGAAGTCCCTGGGGCGCTCGCTGAAGTAGATCACTCTGAAAATGGGATGCCAGTAGTGGGTAAAGAGGAAGCTGGTAAAAGCTTTGGAGATGGTAGAACGTCCTGCACAGCAGTGGCATAGGCATAGCTAAATGGTGGCAGTGGTGCCCATACAAAAGATCTTGATATGCATCTGAGTGAGGAAATACTTGGAAGAGCCACTCAGTGAGAGGTTCAGGGGGAGGAAGTGGCTTCTCACTGCTGGCAACTCAGAACTGCATGGGAACCTGCTAAAAAGCAAGGGCTGGAAAGGAGGGAAGAAGTCGCATGTATAGTCTCTCTATGTGGTATAAAGAAGGAAGGAAGAGCTCAATGTAGGTGGCTGAACATATGGCAAAAGCCTCCAGAGCATGGACAGGAAGTGGCCCTTGACTCCATCACATTGCAAATGAGGCAAAGGGCTCGCCAGCATGTGCTGGAAGGGGGCAAAGCCTCTGATGGGCCTTGCTAATTCGATTTGGGAACTAGATCAAATTCAACCCGACACTAGGCCTCTCTCTTCCCAAGCACTGCAGCAAGGGGATGGCCAGTGCTCTGACCTGCTACTTAAATGTTTGCTGAGCATCTAGAATCCTCAGAGTGTAAAGTCACAAAGAGTAATTGTCCTATCACCATTGAAAGGTAGTGGCAGCAAGGTGCTTGCTTCCCTCAGGAACATCTCCTTCCCTCCTGATGTTCTGCTTCATTTCAAAACAGGACATCACACTGGTGTAACTGGAAAGGCCAGAGTTGGTCTTCAACCTCCTCCAACCATTCTTTCCGAAACTCCCTTCCATGGGCAGAGCTGATGGTTTTCAGGGGGAAATAGTGGATCTGAAAGAGGATAGATGAAAAGACTGCTCTTGTGCCTGATCATCTGCTCACTAGTTCCCATGTGGCCCAGAAACACCAAGGTTGATCATGCTGTCTCTTCCTACAGGAAGATGAAAAAGCACTACGTGGTTGGAGCTCTGTCTGCAGCCCTGCTGGGACTCATCTTGTTCCTGGGACTCTTCTTCGGGCTGCGCCATGACTCATGGGACACACACATCTACAAGAGGGCAGCTGTGGCTACAGATGCGGGGCAGTGCTCAATAATTGGAAGGTACCTGATAATTCTGTTGCCACTCTTTAGCTCTGATAGCTCTTGCACAAGACAAAACTGTGCTGTTTCCTCTGGTGTCCGAGTGCAGCCCTGGCAATTGCACAGCACAAATACTCTCTAATCTCCCTGTGGAATGAGGAAGGCAGAATAAAACCTGGGTTCTTATCATGCCTGACTGATATTACTGCAGTCACTCAAAGACAGTAGAGTGGGCAAAGATCCCCCAGGCATAGAAACAATGGGAATGATGCTTTTCAAGCTCCTTTTAAAATCTATTTGTCAAGCTGTCCTCCATTTCTAGGTGCAAGAGCTGATTTCAGCCTCCTTGGAGAATTGTCATTTTGCACTTGTAGTGAATGTGTCTTGGATGTCAATCCTTGCAGATGTTCTGACATATCTCAGTGTTTTCAGACTAGTCTAGATGCCTCTTTAACAAGGGCTGATCTGGTCTGCACCTCAGCCCATCAGGGTCTGTTCTCTAAGGTGACAGAACTGCAAAACTTCATATTTGTGAGGATCCTATAGACAACGTGTGGGCAAATGTGGTGCATGACAGATCGGTCGTATCTGCTCTGACAAGATGGCTGCACTGAGACACTGCGGCATGTCACTGTAAGATGCCTTTTCTGCTGCACAGGGACATCCTTCAGCAAGGAGGGTCAGCAGTGGATGCAGCAATTGCAGCTCTGCTCTGCGTAGGACTCATGAACGCTCACAGCATGGGCATTGGTGGGGGCCTCTTCTTTACCATCTACAGCAGCACAGGTAAGGGACATGGCCATATGTGGCTGGAACAGTTGCGGAACTGTTGCTTTATCTAAAGCAGAGAGAGGTGGTTTATCCTACCTGGGTGAAGACTGACCCTCCCAGCCTCTGTGGGAACAGGCTGTCCTTAAAACAACTGCCAAGAAACTGGCTCCCAATGGTCAGACTTCTTCAGCAGAGATGGTGCCTGGGTGCTGAGTGCAGAGCTAAAACACCATCTTCCTTGCTCTGTCTTTAAAGGGAAAGTGGAAATCATTAATGCAAGAGAGGTGGCTCCAAAAAAAGCATTGTCAGACATGTTTGGGAACAACACAGAGAGATCTCGGAAAGGTATGGCAAAGGTTGTTTCACTGCTTTGGGAGACTCATATCTGCCAACTTTCATTTACACCTCTTTGAATGAATCTCTGTGGATCTCCCTAGCTCTTGTCAGTTCAAGAGTCCTCCCTAAATACATTTTTGTGGTGGCTTCAAACTGGTGGAACCACTAGTGGAACTGAACTGGTTCAGAGGTTTCAGAGAAGAAGCAGTAATTCCCTTTCAGGGAGGTATTTCCTAACCAAAAGTAGAAAGAAATCCTAACCACTTATCTTCCTTATTATTCCTGTAACTGGGGAGAAACAGAGCTTTGGAGGGGCTCTAAAAAGTCTGTTGAACTTCTGCGAGATGCTGACAGGAACAGGATTGAAGCAAGCTGCTGCAATAATCTCCTCCTCCTGCAATCACTCTGCAATGGAGTAGTCGGCCCATTGCAATTGTTGTCACAATGCTGCAACAAAACTTTTGACTTAAGCGCATACATACTCTGTGCCCTTCTACTGTACTGCATGTGTCTTCTTAAGGATTGGAAACTGGAGGCAGCTATAATAGCTTCTGTATGCTGAGCAGCTTTGCTCTGGTACAGAGCCAGCTGCGGGAGAAATGATCAAAAGCCTGAGTAACCAGCAAGAGGGAAGAGGTGCTTCAGCAGTCCGGAATATGTCAGCATGAGTATCAGCCAGAATAATTCTGTTAGTGTTGTATGCATAGACTGAGCTGGTAATAGTATGAGTGATCCCTGCCGAAAACAAAGCCAATAGATAAGCCCTGCTTTACTTCCTACTCTGTTGATCGTTTTTTTGTATGCACTTTTTTTTTGATTGTTTGTTTGTTTTTCTCTCCTTGCTGTCTGCTAACACATCCCTTGTCTGCTCCAGGAGGACTGTCCATCGCAGTTCCGGGAGAAATTCGAGGCTATGAATTGGCTCACAAACGTCACGGCAAATTAGCGTGGAAAGACCTGTTTATGCCCAGCATCAAGCTGGCAAGAGAAGGGTTCCCAATCGGGAAAGGCCTTGGAGCAGCCCTCAAATCAAGAGAGGAGTCAATTGAAAGCAATCCTTCACTGTGGTAGGTAGAGCAGTTGCTGTTCCGGGCAGGGAAATTTGGGTTTACTCATCCTAGGTGAAGAATGTCTGTTGTTTGTGTACCGTGGTGTCCATGAGGACTGTCCCTCCCCTCCAGTGTCTGTACTCACTGTACCCTTCTGATGCTGTTCCAGCTATCTGAAGTTGCTAAATTATGTGGCCAATTTCAGGAAAGTTCAGTCCTGACTTTTAAAGGGAGATAAATTCTGCTCTTAACGTCCATTTGTCTGGGCAGAGGTGGAACTTGAGTACAAGCTGGGCTAGCTTTGTCAAATGGCCATGTGTTTGAATTCCCAGCCTCTTCTCATGCTGTAAGTATGCTAAGCTAATCTGACTTGCCTTTTGGGCAATTGCAGCATATGTTCCTCTCCTTGTACATCTCATCTGCTCTCAGGCTGCAGGAATCTGGGTTATCTCTTATCCTGAAGTCAGCCTTCCTGGATATTGCCTCTGACCATCCTCTTCTAGCAATGACCGTGAACATAAAGGGTTTTAAATGCTCCTCCATTTCCTCTTACAGTCAAACCCATGGTGTCTATGTCCAGCCCTCCTGGAGATTATGCTTAATCCTTTATTATTCCTTAAAAATCTCTGCTAGCTACAGGTTGTTTTGCAACCCAATTGGGATGGACAGCCTGGGCCTATCTCCTGCGCTTTCATCTGGAGGGCCAAAGTGTCACATCCATGATGAGGGAGCTAGAGGTGGAACTATGTCTACTTCAAAATGCTCTGACAAGTAGGGATCAAAGTTCATTTTCCTGGACTTGCTGGAAGCTTTGAACCTCACAGCTTCAAGGTCTGTGCTCTGAACTGGATTGCTCAAATTAAAGGACTGTGGCCCCTCCCAGGCCTCTTGAGGCTGTTTTTAAATCCTTGGGCAGATGGGGAGGGTGGCCTGCCTTGGCAATAAAGATCGATGCTCCCTCCTTCAGGTTTCGCTAAGCAAATTCTGAGCAATGTGGAATCCCATGTCAGAAGCTGCTGTTTGCTTTATGTCTTAGTGCATGTGGTCAGGACCCCTGTGGCATGGCTCAGGCAGCCCCTCTTCTCTTCAGGGAACCTCCAGCATGAACAGTCAAATACTGTGTCAGCTGATACAGGCACACATAGTTTTGAACTTGCATCTCAGATCTGATCTTCTCAATCTCCTTTCTCTGTTAGCGAAGTGTTCTGCAGAGGAGGAAAAATTCTGCAGGAGGGCGATATCGTCAAGATGCCTAAGCTAGCCAATACATATGAGACTATAGCCAACGAGGGAGCAGATGCCTTTTACACAGGAAGCCTGGCAAAACAGATCATCGCTGACATCCAGAGTGTAGGTGAGAAACAGGATACTGTCCAAAACAGCCTGAGTGAAGTGACTGCTGCAGCTCGGCATCCAGAGTTGAGCCTGTGACCTGCAGAAGCCTCGGAAGCAGGTCAAACCTGCTGAAATGCTGCCTCTGAGATGTGTGGCAATAGGATGCCCAAGAAAAGCTGTTGGCACTTAAAGGTTTAATGGATGTATTTCAAATTTAGTCAAAAATGGATAGTGTATACTGTGCATTTCTGTGCAACATAGTGTATCCAGAAATGCATAGACTTGCTATAGCATAGTAGATACATGCCATCTACAGAGCCTGAATCCAACAACATAAAACAACACATGCTCCTGTAATAAGTTTGTTTAACCTCTGGATGCCACTAGATGGTGGCAGTATCCTATCCTTACTAGCTAGCACTGGCTAGCTTCAGTGAACCTCATGTGAACAAGTCACGTACTGGTTTTATTTGTGGTCATGAATTACTGTCTTCCCCTTTCTGATAAGAAAGGCAATGGAAGGCACAAATTACTCTGCTTATGGGATAGCACAAAGCATCTGCACCCGAAAGCTGCATCTTCCTCCTGTAAACAGAATTCTTTGAGTCATTTTGTTCCCTAATGCTACTGGTATCCTCTGTAGAAATAAATGGATCACCAGATTTTTTTAGCTGCTGTAAATCAGCTCAAGTTCAAGCTTAGGCTATCTGAGCCTTAGTTGGATCTATCAGGGAATAAATTAATCTCCTGCGCACCCATCTTTGCTCTCTTTACCTTGCAACTTTTTTGATTGGTCTGTGTCCCCTCCTGTCCTTGCTGTGATGCCTGGTGATGGAATATTATCTCCTTTTCCCACTGGAGATCACATAAACGCACACCTATAGTTTTCTTCTATCTTCTAGGGGGCATCATCACAATGGAGGACCTGCGGGACTATAATGCAACAGTGATTGAAAACCCTATAAACATCACCCTTGGGGAGTTTATTCTCTACACACCTAGTGCCCCCCTAAGCGGCCCGGTACTAGCACTCATTTTCAACATACTGAAAGGTGAGAGTACCACTGAGCAGCGTCTTGCAGGCAGCAGGAGTTTGGAGAGCTCCAAAGACAACTGCTTTTCTGTTTCGGGAGCTGGGCTTCGATAGCGCTCCAGTGGGTGAAGAGCAGCACTGCTGTTCCTCATGGGTGTCTGAGGCCCCAGAAAGGACCAGAGAAGTGGAAACATTCCTCTTCTGCTGTAAACTCGGGGATGTGTCCTTGGTGTGAAGGGGAAAAATATTCTCCTGATTGGGGCACTTCCCCAGTATCTGCATGGGTGGAGACTAGCTTGTACTAGAGGCTTCTTTAGAAAACACCTCCCCAAGTGCAAATCCTGCTGGTGATTCCTACACAGCCCAAAACTACCAGAGCTCCGGTGTTCTCCATGTGGAGGTTAGAACACTACAGTCACTGCATCTCTGTAGTGATGAGCTTCAAGATGATTCTGTTTGACATAGTTATATTAGCAGCCCTTTGACCATGTATCTTCATTTGTGTTCACAATGGCTTGTCTTCTGTTGCCAGGATATAATTTCTCTGTTGACAGCATCAAAACCCTGGAGGAGAAAGGTCTGACTTACCACCGCATTGTGGAAGCCTTCCGCTTTGCCTATGCCCAGAGGACATTACTAGGAGATCCAAAATTTACCAACATCGATGAGGTAACTGGCAAAAGCTTTTTTCTTCTGCAGTACCAATGTTGATTGGAACATGACTTCAAGTTTGTGAATGACTAAGCATTGTCACGGATGCTCCATGTTACCTGCTGTTGACAGGCACTGAAATGTGTCTTTGAATTAAAGCACCAAGTCCTATGGCAGGTACTTTATGGCTGACCTGTGAGGGATATAAACGGAGGAAACCTTCCTGCTTTAGGCAAAGCAAAATCCTCAATTTCCCAGGAGCCTTCATGTGTATGTAGGGCTAACCTTCCCTGTTTTAAGTGTTGGAAGCCTCATACACTAGATGCTACTCATAGCACCCTTGTGGCTCTCTGAACGTAGTCCTGCTTGTAGTAAATGGACAAACAGATGTGAAGGGCTGAGGCAGGAACTCTATTTCTCCTGACTCTTGTGCTCTTATTTCTCTGACTCTCCAAAAGCAGCAGGATCTGAGCACAGCCTTGCTTGGTGGACATAAACTTGCAACCTACAGAGCAATTGTCAGGACTTGCCTGGATCTAATCCTCTCAACCTTATTCCTCTTCTCTCATCTTTGAAGCGAGTGTAATACTGTTTGCGTACACCTTACTGCAGTGTTGAGGATAGCTTTTCATAGATCTACAATAATGGATGTCGATTAACTTCCCACACAAAGGGGATGCATTGTAATAGCTTCTTCTATGACTGCTTAAAATGCTCTTTGGTAACATGTCCGCCTTTCAAGAAGGAGGAAAACTCTCATTGGAAAACTATAGCCTCATTGCTGGGACTTGCCACTCTTCTGTGGTCTGAAGTGTTGGATATCGGCCTTGTAACTACATGTCTCTTACACTTAATTTGCCGAGTAACTGCATTGGATTTCTCTGACAGGTGATCAAAAACATGACATCTGAGTTCTATGCGGATAGTCTCCGGAGGAAAATCACAGACAACACCTCCCATCCAATTGACTACTATGAGCCAGTGTATCACACTGCAGCTGATGCTGGTACATCCCACCTCTCCGTTGTGGCCGATGACGGCAGTGCTGTGTCCGCCACCAGCACCATCAACCAATAGTATGAGCTCAGACGTTACTTCCGTGTAGGCCTCTGCTGTCTTCCTAGTGGTTCTGTGGTTGGTATAAAACATCAGTGAACTGGCATCTCCATAGTGGGGCAATGATGGGTAGCACTGCTGATGGGCACTTCTCCTGCTGAGCTTGCAGGTCAGTTCTTAACGCTGAGTCCCGTGTGGTTGGGTCAGAGGCCAAGATATGTGAACTAGGGTCCTCTCTCATTTTGGGTTCACCCACCGAGGAAACGTCCACAGCATCTGGATCGTCTCATAAGGGTGCTTTCACTGCAGGCTCTGATTTCCCAGGCATCTGGAAGAAACTTGAGCTAATACAGCTGGCCTGGAAGTGCAGTGTTTGGTTTTGAGTGTTGTCAGGAAGAGCTTTGTTCTGTGTGTATGGCCTGAAGCTGGGGGTGGGGTGGGGTGTGGAATAAAGGCTTTTCCTTCTGTTCATAGTAAATTTCTCCTGTTTGACACATCTGGGCAAAACCCCAGTCATTCCCAAAATGTCCCAGCCTTTGAGCTATGCTGCCTCTAAATGGAGTGCAGCACTTCCCACTTACAAGGGGAATTAATTGTATTTGGCTGCTCTGCTGTTTTTTCCCCTTGGGGCCCTTGCAGGGGAGCTATACAGCAGGGGTCTGGGCTGCCTTTCCTCTTTGTGTAGCCAGTGCTCAGGGTAAAAACTGCTTCCTTTCCCCATATGGTGACAGAGTGTCCTTTACAGCAGGAGGGAGTGGAGAGTTACTCCCATCAAATCCCAGGTTTCACATTGCAGTAATTCACCTGAAGCTCATCCTGGATTTGCTCTGGTTTTGACATGTTTGCACCAACTTGTTTTGTTTAGCTTTGGCTCTGATATACGATCCAACATCAGTGGAATCATATTTAATGATGAGATGGACGACTTCAGCTCACCTAACATAATCAATGGATTTGGGATCCCTCCTTCTCCAGCAAACTTCATAGCACCAGGTAGCTGTAAACTGCCTTCTCAACTCAGTCTTGTAGCTGTATCTTGCATACTAGGGCTGTGGTGTCTGCAAGCCAGGCTGCAGCATGTCTGCGATCAGCCATAGGTCTGGGGCTGTCTGCAGAGGGTGGGGGTGAAAGTAAGGCACCTGGCATCCTTGCTGAAAGTGCACAACCAGCTGCTCCGGGAGCGCCTTGAAGGAGAGGCCATCTAAAGAAAAACTCCTGGACATGCCTCTTTCCAGCAGCCTGAATCCTTTCCTAGCCTTGGGGCTACCAGAGGTTTATTTTAACTGGCTTATGAGGGAGGAAGCAGGAGAAGCTGACTGCAAAGTGTTAGATGGCACTGTCCATCCTTCTCCCTGCTTGTAGGGCAGCTCTGAATAGACCATTTGTGTACCCTACTTGAGCACCAAGCCCGCTCTACCTGCAGACTGATTTTGTTGCTGCTGACATGGGCTGGGGGTTCTGCCACCTCCTGCACACTGTGCTTTGGCTAGGGGCAGGGAACTGAAAGGACAGGAAGGGCAGTCCCATGGTGGAGGGGAGGCAACTGCATCAGAGACAGTCCCAGCCAGGATGTAGAAGGCAGGCACCTTCCACCTCTGCACAAAGGCCTGGAGCTAAGCTTTGCATTGCAGGAGCAAAAAGAACGTGGGTACAGGGGGGAATGCTGAGCAAGACTTGTATGAACTGAGTTAGGTGGCTACTGGGGCTCTGGGTTTAGACACGGAGCAGGAGCCAGCAGTCTGCAAGGTGCTGGTGGGAGGCTGAGCCTCTGTCACATCTGTGTCCCCAACAGGTAAACAGCCATTGTCCTCCATGTGCCCCTCTATCTTGGTGGATAAAACAAAAAAGGTCAGGATGGTGGTTGGTGCTTCTGGAGGAACAAAAATAACCACAGCAACAGCACTGGTATGTGATGATATGGGCACACCGGGAACAGGGGTGAGGCAAAACAAGGAGGGGAGCGGCAGCATTTGGGACAAGGGGCTAGAGTCTCTGTCTGTGTGATGTGACCATGGTCACTGCTCCCTGCTGGGCCTCAGCATCTACTGCAGGCCTGAGAGCTGAGAGGGAGCATTTGGCCTGGCCTGCTGAGGGCTAGACCCTCCAACCCCATGGTCTTCATAGGTCTCTTGCTAAATTGCTTCTTTTAATGACTCCAGGTCTTTCCCTTTGGTAGGTTCTTCCTACCACTTGCAGGAGAAGATTTGTGACTTCACTTTAGCTTTTACTTCTGTCCTCTGAATCTCCACAAACTCCTCTGACTCGTTTAGAGCCATTCCCATCCAAAATGACTGACTAAAGAGGCTGTTTCCTAACTGGTACACTGCCACCTTCCCCCTTATACAGTTTGAGAGCTGAACGTGCGTGTGATTAAACCAGTTTAATCCTGAAAGAGGAGGCTGATGCCCACATCCATCCTGTGTGGAAAAGGACTTTGAAAAGGACCTGAAATGGGCATGCTGTGAATTGTTCTGGTGGGACTCAGTGCTGAGCGGCTGTAGTACGTGCTCCTGTTTTAGACATGGTTGCTAAGGCTGCTTATTCTTTGTTTTTTGTTTGTTTGTTTGGGTTTTTTTTAAATCTTGTTGCTGTTTCAAAACTTCCCAGCTTTCCAAAGTGATGCTAAAATGTGACCTGCTCCAGAAATGGTCTCTTCCCTAACACAAAGGGAATCGATATGTCATTCCCTCCTTATCTATCCCAGGATTTTTCCTTATGCATTGCCACACAGTTCACTTCCAACGCGAGCTTGCAGTAGAAAGTCCTCAAGGTCCTGCTACCCAAAACAGTGTCCTGACTCCTGTTCTCTACATGCCTTGCTCCCAAGGAGACCCTCAGTCCCACAATCTTGCTGACATGGAGTAGATCTAGCTCAGCCTTCTTGCCTCAGGACAATGAGGGGGGGAGCAGTAACTAATTTCTACTTTGACCTCTGCAGCAGTAAATCAGAGGAAGCTCGACCACTCTCCCAAGCAGTATGCATATGAATGAAAGCAATGCAGAGGAGATACATAAGAATTTATGCCAGGGATGGCAGCAGGCTCTCTGAGAACTGCTGTGGCACCTACTTGAAGGCCCAGCTAAACCAAAAGTGATTGTAGGAGGAAGCTGTCTCCTTCTTGAGCACCACTTCACCACCACCAATTCATTGGCACTGTTGAGCAGAGGGCATGGCTTGAATGCCAGTGCCTGGCCTGGCTGGGTGCAGCCCCTCTGAGTGCTGGGCCAGGCTGGGTTTTCTGGCTGTTGCCCTGAAGGCTCAGCAGCATTGGGCTGTGAGGCTGGTCTCCAGCTGGACCTATGGGGTCTCATGCTCCTGCAGTCCTTGCTGTCCATCTCCCCTGCTCCTTGCATATAGCCTCTGTGCGCTGCTGGGTTTGGTGTGTGGCTGCACCCTAATGCTAGTGACATTGCAGTTCTGAGCTCCAGGCTGGATCCTGCTCTCTGGCTGAGGCAGGAGAGCAGTTTCTGCAAAAGTTGCTACAAGTAGGGGTCAGAGCCCTTGATCCTGAGGCTGTTTTCAATTGCTAGCAGCTCCAATTCCCAATTTAAGCAACTGAGGATGAGCTAGGTTTAAGGAAACTGGTTGTACAGTAGCAGGAAGCTGTAGCTGTGTGTTTGCACTGAGGTGACTGCTGCATCTAAAGACGCCAGCGCTAGCTTAATCAGAGTAAAATAAATCTAGCCACAATAGCTTGAGCCTCTGATCCTTTTGCTGTGTTAATTGTAAGCACTGTTGGTCTCTTCGTGTGGGGGTCCTCCTGAGTGTATACAAGGTGATGTGCTGCAACGTACCTATATTTTGCTTAGCCAAGAGAGGGTGAGCTGGAAGCAGCATGAACTAGAAATAGGGTTTTTTATGTGCTCTAGTAAACATCCTTCAGAAATCTCTCCCTGTGCTGCTGCTGCAAGGATCAGATCTCTTTGGAGGTAAGTAATTAACATTAAGGTGTTTTACTTCTCTTAGGCAATCATCAATTCCCTCTGGTTTGGTTATGATGTCAAGAAAGCAGTGGAAGAGCCTAGAATTCATGATCAACTGTTTCCCAGTATCACTGAGCTGGAGCAGGAAATAGAGGAGGTTTGTCTGGCTTGGGGTTGGGGTGTGCACGTGCTTTGTCTGGTGCTGGGCTGACTGTGTTGGGAAGGCTTGTGCTTGCAGCAAATCGTGACACCTCGCCAAATGTTTCTAGGTTAGAGGTATTAAAGCTGGCACAGGTCCAGCACTGGGTCACGATAACTCTTCAAAGCGTATATCTACTTTAAGGCCTAGTGCGTTCAAGTGCCAGCTACATCTGGAACTGATAATATTTATCTTCTTCCAGAGGTTGTTTAGCTCAAAGGACTTGCAAAACAGTGAACCACATCAGGGCCTGAAGCACCCAAGTAGTCTAAATCCAGCGATCCTCAGGAAACTCTTGTCCTATTGTGCAGCCTCCTGATGAATCCTGCAGAGCTGGCACAGTGCTAGCGAGGGAGGGTGCACGTGGGGAGCTGAGAACAAGCCTGAAAATATTCTCACAGTAAAGATCTCTGCACAGAACTGTCTGTCAGTCTGCAACCTGATGGCAGGATCTGCCATGCTCTGGATACCACTCCCCTCAGCTGGCAGCTTCACTTCACCCTGAGGTATTAAGCATTTCAGAGACCTGAGGCAGATGTGGTCTTTGTACACATCTCATCCCATGTCTGTCATTAGCAAAAGCACTCCTAGATAAGCCAACTTTTTTCATCAAACTATCCTGAAGATCCTCTTTTATCTCCAGATAAAATAAACTTCTTATTAATGTAATAACTAAGATATGTGCCTGCACTGGGGAGGATGCCCTGCCCCCAAACAGGATCCATCATTCCTGGCTGTCAATATCTGAATATGTGAGGCAGAATGCTCTGGGACTCAGGGATAGTACTGGTAGCCCACACTGAATACCACAAATGCCACCTCTTCTCAACTCCACCTCTTCAAAGCAAAGCATCCCAGAAAGCAGCAGGAGGAGGAGGGACAGTATGTAACTTCAGGGGACCTACCTAACACAGGCACCAAACACTCAGGTAGCCATGGAGGATGCAGGTCACAGAAAGCAGCACATATGCAGTTTCTTTCTCCTGTTATACTCATGTACTTCTGTATTCCAGGGTATAGAAGAAGAACTAAAGAAGAGAAGACATAATACCACATGGGGGGGCAGCAATGCAATTGTGCAGGCCATTCTCAGAACTGATGATGGATGGGCTGCAGCCTCCGATTCTCGGAAAGGTGGCTTCCCTGCAGGCTACTGACCTGGCTCAGCTCCTTTTTTCAGTGATCTAGTGAGACTGAGATGTGTTTGGGGGAAGATCCTTAAGATCTGCAACTCAGGGACTTCTTACAAGAATAAGAACAAATTTACCTGTGATTCTATTGACAAAGCTGGGACTGATGTTCTCAACAGCCATTACAGATGTGTCTCGTGGCAGAGCAGTGTGCTAAGAAAGGCATGTCTACAAGGACATGCATTACCTACCTGAAGAGTCTGTTCTGCCTTTGTTCCCTGCCTCGTCTCCATCCCAGGTAATCAAACTTGGTATCCAGTGTTTCTGAAGAAGGTCCAGCTCACCTAAGCTGCAGGAAGTGTTTCCCTTGCACAGCTTCACCTACTGGGAATGTCCTCATCGCTGCTAGAGAAGAGATTTGATTCCTGTTGAGTAAATGAGAATTAGAGGGCTTTGGGGATTGGGTCTTCTAAGTTACAAACTAATAGGTCTGTGCCATAGCAGGAACCCCAACGCTAGACTGGGATAAGCCTTCACAAACTCACCACTCTTTCTTTTAACAAAGGATTTTTCTGCTTTTCACTTCAAAAGTTGATCATTGGAGATGAGTGTATAGCTGGAAAAGTGGCTTCAAACTTTTTTACGTATCTATATTTCTGTTGAGAAGGTCTAAAGGGAAGACAGATGCTACCTGTAAAACTCTGAGCACAACTAAAATAAATAAATAAATATGGAGTCACCCCTTTTTTCTTGCCTGCACAGTTCATACTTTCAAAAGGGACTGCGAGAGTTTGCATGAGAGGCTCTGCTGAGATTTCTCTCCTTTGTTCCCTCCTTTCATGAAGCTATGAGTAAAAAAGTAGCTAATTATCCAGAACAAGCTTGGTTTTTTTCAGTTTGCCTCTTACCATGTCAGACTGCAGGCTTAAAGTACCAAAGAGACCGAGGGAATGAAACCTCTAAGAAAGGGCATGCTGCAGCTTCTCTAGTTTGAAGGTGAGCTGCCATGAATCAGGCAATTAATGACCTCATAGAAATCCATATCTGATACGAAACAACCAAGTGTTCTGCACCTATGCGTTGCGAGAAGTGGGTGTTTGCCTACCGGTATGGACTAGTATCTCCCAGTAGATAAACTTAGCAAAGTTAGACTCTTGAGACAAAGATCAAGAGTGAGTGTTCCAGGATGTTGTTGAGCTCTGGACATGTTTATGAAATCCTTAAAACATGAAGGTCTTAGTAACTGATCTTATCTATTTGGCTCACTGAAACTTCCTGTCTGTTTATAAGAACCTGAAAATTCAGAATGCATCAAAGAAAAAATGAAAGGCTGAAATTCTAGGCTTTGGGCACCCTCTCTTTCCTAGTAGTTTCTGGAATTGGGGTGAGTCTGGTTTCAAGGCATAAAGTGATAACTAGCTCATGCTAAAATCAAAAGGTGATGACTTTGGGCTATATATTAGCTTGTATCACTCCTGCTAGATGAATCACTTTTGCCAAAGGTAGCCTGGTATGTGCTCTTCTTTCCTGTGCTGTTACTGCTGTGATAGGTGTAGCTCAGATAGTGATTGCAAAGAACGCAGTGGCATTGTGTTCCTAGATGAATGAGACTGATTTTGGGCCAAGCTTGTATCCTTTTATCTCTGAACTTTGAATTTGGCTTTTCCATTTCTTATAATTCCAGGATAGACGCCATTGTGGCAAGTTGGGGTTCAAATCCAGTCTGCAAAGCATTTTAGGATGCTTATGTAAAAAGTCATGTAAGGAATGGCATCAGCTGTTATTAGTTGGAAATATCTGGCCCTTTGGACTGTTCATCAAATGATCAGGACTGGCTGAACTCTTTCTTGGCTGAGTGAGGTCTGGGAAATAAACAAATAAAATTACTGCATAGCAGAATAAGCTTAACAAAACCTTTCAGTCACTATAGTCTGAAGTACAACAGAGAAAGCTTGTGCTCTGAAATGGGAGAGTAACTATTTTCTGGGAAATGACTGTTGGACAAACATGCTATCTGAAACAAGTTTCAGTAACAGCTGCTGGATGTTTCTAATGGTTTGTGGTGCAGAAAACATACTTATGTTCCTGAATCTCTTATAGCTGGTCAGAAAAACTCCCCTAGGATTTATAACCTATGTTACAAAACTTCCCTTCTTAAAAGCTCAATTTCTGCTATTGCTAAAAACACTTTCTGTTGAAAATGATTCCTATAAAAGCATTTGAATTCTTGACCTTTTGCAGAAGTGGATTCTTTTTTTCTTTTTTTTTTTTTGTTTTTTGTTATTCTAGCAGTACCAGTCCAAAGAACTGAATTCAGGTGAATATGAACAGTGCTAAAGCTTGCACTTACATCCTACTGAGTCTCCAGAATGAACTGATGTTAGTGGTGGAAACACCGCTGTAAAAGTAGTCTCAAACAACTGCTTGTGTGTTAGGCTAGGCAACATCTTTAGAGGAAAAAATTCCATGATAGGTTTAAAAAGATTTTATTAAAAATATAATTTAAAGACTTCATCAGAAAATAGAGCAGCCTCTGTACAATGGTGCTTTGAAAGTCCTTGTAAGTTGACTAAGTACAAAAATAACGGTTTCCTGCTGGCATCAGTATGAATGGGAAGGGACCAACCTGGGGTGCTCTTGACCCAAGCAAGCTTCAGCAGCAGTGAGGTGGTGGCAGTGGCAAGAGCAGAGGTGCAAAGGGAGGTGCAGTCACTCAACTTCACCAGATGTTTTGCCTGTAAGTACTCAGGACTGGAAGTCTCTACAGCTGTGAGACATCTACGCTCTCATTCCTTTCTATTTTACAAATTAAACCTGTGACAGGTTTTAAATCTACTCTGCGGGCTCAGTTTCAGTGTCAGTAGCAAAGTAGTTGAATTACAGTACAGCGCTGGACTGCAGATAATGTTACTTTGTGGCATGGCCCTTTTGCTGGTGAGACACAATGAAGCATGGCCCAGGGCACTGCTGAAGGGTGCCCTGAAGCCTAACAGGGAAGCAAAAACTACTCTCCCTACCTCTAGACAGTTCTTGGTTGCTTTCTGTAAGCTCTGTTTAGCTAGAAATAACCACAGATCTTGCTAAGGCCGACAACTGGTCTAGTTAGTCTATCTGGTCCTGAAACATGAGCCACAGATGGTGTCTGGTGCCCGTAAGTGCTTCCCCTGTAATGTCACTGCAGTTGGGGTGGTATTTCTGACACTAGAACCAATGCACCTAAGAAATGGTGGCTGAAGTAAGGAAGTCATTACTAAAAGTAGAAAACTTTTAGTTTCAGCAAATTATGTAGCTCAAATATGGCTATAAAAAAAAAAAAATTCTTTTAAACCTCCCCATACACACAAGTTAAACAAAAATACCACCCAACTTTAAGCTCTAGGCCTGTTCCCTTTCTCTATGCTGAAATGTGAATTTGATCAATGTGCTAATGCTGTATAACGGGGTGTTTTTACCACCCCTATGACTTGAGTAAACAGCTCTGTTAAGAAACTTTAAATCTTCAAGAAGCATTCAAGAACTTTAAGTATTCAAGACGCTTTAAGTCTTTCCTGAATTAGGGAATTTAACACACAATCCAATTGGGGGGGGGGTGCATGCAGCTGGCTGTAAACATAGGTAACCGGTCATCCAGATACATGAATAAGTATTTGTGGGCATGATCTGGGAACTTCGGCAACTTAGGAATACTTTTGCGTCAGGTCTGATGCAGCTGTGCTCATGCCCTGAACTAGAGTTCTTAGTGTACAATTTCTGAAGGAAACACACGTCTGGCTCTCAGCAGCTTTACTCTGAATATCATTAAAATGCCATTGAAAGCTGAGATTTCAACAAGTTGATGGCTTAATTGGACAGACTTTATGGGTACGAACATAGACTTATAACCTGTCTGGCTCTGTTCACAGCAGCATGTGTGGATGAATAGGCTTGGTTTGGTGTTTTTAATAGTGTGTACTCAGACACTTGTCACAGTGTTTGCAGAGACAGTTCATTTGTTTCTTTACTAGGAATCGCTCTAAAAATGGGGTGAGAATACAGAGGGCTGGATGTGAGGTGAGAAGTAACATGTTTGGGGAAGGGGAGGGATTGGCTAGTGCCTTGCTCTGGCTTTGCTATGCCTTCAGAAACGTACATGCCATCCTGTCTGTGCCCATAGGGAAGTGCGGGTTACAAGCTTTCTGGAAATGCGGGGAGCTGTTGGGCACTGAGGGAACTTGCCACTGGGTATTTGAGAAGTGCTTTGTTAAATATTTTTTTTTACATATTTAATTCCATTAGCTGTTGTAAGCAGGGCAAGGTTAAGGAGTAACCGCAACAGACCTCTTGCATCAAGGTGAGTGGGTTCAGGTCTCTCCTCCAGGAGTTTTTTCTGTTAGCAGTGGTTCTTAAACAGTCCCACAATTTTCTCCACTAATGTTTAGTGATTGTTAGACACCAATTTTGGTAAACGGGCAGTTAGGCTATGGGAGAAGAGTATTCTGCAAATGTCCGATAGCACTGCATCACTTCTCAACAGTCCTGGTGTTTGCCTGACCAGGCTGAGCATATGGTGACAAATCAAGTCCTCTGATCATGCATCTTTGTATTTTGCGGAAAGTTACAAAGCTTTCAGAAACAGCATCTCCTCCAATGCTGTCCTCACCTGCCTTCCCAAACTACTTGCCTTCTGCAAGCAGAAGGGGAGGAAGAAGAGGAGGGAGAAGTGGCAGCACAGGGAGAGGTGCCCTGAGGGAGCTGAACTGAGGCCTGTCCCTCCTGGGAGCAGGGAATTCACATTGCTCCATGGGAAGCTCACTCTCGAGGTCACCAGTGTGCAGGGTTGAAGGAAGCTTCAGCACAGTTACTCGGGGCTCCTGGGGCCCTCTGTGTCCCCAAGACAGAGAGTACATAGGGCAGCAGACTCATGCTACGGTGCTGATTTTACTTGCCACCTTTGGGACCAGTAGGGCTTCTCTGGATGGGAAAACCACGATGTGGAGTTTGGAGTTTTACTCTCTTCCCTTTCCAAGCCAACCCTGTAACCCCAGAAGTATGCTTTTAAAATCCTGACCCTACAGACACTTCTTGTAATCCTAATACCAAAACACTTACCTAAGCAAGAGAACTCAGTTACGTACTTCACATCTCTGAGCCCCAGTAATAACCTTATCATGGCAATAGCCTGAAAGAAATTAATAATACTCTTAGCTGAGGTTCTCCAGCATGAACGGACGATACAGCTAGGTCATTTCACAGTGTTCCCAGTGGGTTTTGGACCAATTTTCCTTTCCCACCTTGTATATTCCTCTTTTGAATAGCTGGTCTGCTCAAGAAATATGGTATAAAATATTGACTACGTAATGGAAGACAGATGTAGCTCTAATCAAGGCAGGCTGACCTGTCCTTGTATTGCCTGGGGGTACTTGCAGTCTATTGGAGTTAGGTGTAATCAACAGTTTTGCCCATATTCTGGGAGGCATCCTGATAGGAACAGATGAAGTTGGCATGCCCAAGCCAAAGCATGTTCTGAATTTAGTTACCTCCTGTGGTTTTTGCCTAGAATAAAGGAGTTGTGATGGTATATGATGCTAATATCCAGCTGATTTCCCCAGCTTCCTTATATCAGAGTAAGCAGAGATGCATTTTCCTTCCTTGGAAATCCCCTGCACAACATTCATTGCAAACATAAATTTCCCTTCTTTATGTCCTCTTCTCAGCAGGCCACTCTTAACCTCCTGTAGAGGGGAGAGCAGAGGAAATGGAATGAATGGGGCAGGGTCCTGAGCTGTACCAAGTCTCAGTGTTGCCAGTTGTGAAAATGAAGGATGTGCGTGTTGGGTCAGGTTGAGAGAGTGAGAGTCAAGCAAGGATGAGGTTAGCTAGAAGCACAATACATGTTATTCAGGCAAGTTACAGAAGTAATTTCCTTCTTATCAAAAGCAGAAGACCAGACAATCCAAGCAAGGCCACTCACCTCACTGAAGCTTGCCTCAAACAGGATTTTGTCATCTTTAGTATGCATGATGGGAGCTGCAATGGCATGTTCCAGGTCATAGCCAAGCCACAGCTTGTTTATAATAGCCTGCAATGAAAGAAATCCCGCACTGATTGGACTTAATGAATAAGAACCTGGGTCACAGGCTGCCATTCCTCCACACTGGTGTAAATCCAGGCAAGTTCCACTGTAAATCCTGCCTGTAGGATGGTGCAAACCTGCTGCAGTGGTCATACCAGAAGTCCCTCTAGCCCAGCATCCTGTCTTTGTGGTGGCCAACAGCAGGTGTCCAGGGCAAAGTGCAAGAACAGGGTGAGCCCTTAATGTCATCCCAGAATGCTCTCCCTGAGCCAAAGCAGCATCCTTGAATTCAATAGCTGCTGACAGTTCTTTTTTCCCTTTGTATTGATGGAGCTGCTTGCTTTCTTCAGATTCTAGAAACACAATCTTTTGCAGCAAGGAATTCTGCAGCATAATTCTTTGTTGTGTTTGTGGATTTTTTTTTTTGAGCCTGATAATTTCATTTTGTTCCTCCTTCTGGTAAAAGTGACAGCGAACAATCCTTTTTTCACTTCGCCAAGTCACTTGCTTTATATATTTCTATCATATCCTCCTCGGTCATCTTTTCCAGGCTGAAGCGTCCTAGTCTATTTTAAACACAGTTGGGAAAAGGTTGTTTGATACCTGTGACCGGGTTTTTTTTTTTTTTGCCCTTTCCTATGGGCAAAGCACCAAGCTGTCCTTGAGGCAGTTCCAGCTGCAGTTCCTCCAACATTCACTGTCACCTCACAAAAGCTAATTTTATCAGCCCAGATCTCTATGGGACACCACTGGTGCGCTTCCTGTCTGAGAGAACTGGCTATTCATTCCTTTTCTGCATTTACTATCATTTAAACATTTGTGTATGAGATCCTTCCCTCTTATCCCCTGGCAGCACTGTTCCTCTAAGAGCCTTTGAGGTACCCTGCTCAAAGCCTTTTGGAAATCCAGGTAGATCCCTCTTCTGTACATGTGTAATTCTTTAAAAAAAAAAAAAAATATATATATATATATAGTGATTTGTGAGGCATGGCTTTACTTTGCAGCAGCTGTGTTGACTTTCCCAATGTATCATAATTACTTGCCTCCTAACCCTATTCTTCACTGTAGTTTCGACCAATTTGTCCCATACAGATATTATATATTGGTCTGTAGCTCCTCAAACTTTTCTCTAGAATCCTTTTTAGTATTTGGGTCACACTTTCCATCTCTTGTCTTCTTGTACTACAGCAGGCTGAAGTGAGATTACACTTTAAAAATTGGTGTGACTATCATTTGGTTCTGATTCTGCTACTGTTACTTTTTAATTGATTTATCCTATCACCTTTTCTTGGTCATTCAAAAATAAGGATCTAGCATGGAATCCTTCCTATGCTCCTCTTCAGTGAAGAAAGATGAAAAATAAAGTTGTCTTTTTCCTCTTGTGGCCTTATTTACTTTTATTTCTTGATTGCTTGACAAGTCTTTTGTTAGACCTCCTGCTTCTAAAAGCTCTTTTTCTATAACATTTGTCACTTTGTGTTTATGTGTGGTGTTGGTTTTCTAGTTGTCTTATTTTTTCCTGTCAGGTAATTTATTAGTTTGTTTTGGGGGAACCAAAGTTTTGGGCAATGCCTGTCTCTTCCTAACAACTTCTTTTACTTGCTATTTAATTACTCCAGCTTCTTCCCTTTCAAAAAAGAATTGAGAGGGCCAGCAAACATTTGCTCTGGCTGCCAATCTGCTGCCTTTAGCAACTTCCAAATTGCAAAAAAAAAGAGAGCACCAAGGAGACAAGACCTGGGGGGAGCTGAGTAGGAAGAGCAGGCAGGCCTAACCATGGCTGGAAGTCTGAGAGGGCTGAAAGAGCTGCTGACTGTTGCATGTTCTCCCAGCTCCTCTGCTTCCTGTTCCCGCCAGGTAGGAGTGTAATTCAATAGCAGAGCTGAAGCTACCCCGGCCTATGTAACGCTAGAGGCAAGGGGAGTATAGGCTGAGTCTGCAGCAGGCCCTCTTCACTGCTGCCTCCAACATAGCGGTAGTAACAGCAGCAAAGTGATTCCTTTTGTTCAGATTTATAAGATGTGTGCTCCCCTTGCTGAGGGGAACGGGTTACTGTGTGGTACATGGTCACTCACCATAGCAGTAGCACTGATAATCCAGTCTCCACCGGCTCCTCCGATCACCAGCATGTCTCCCATCTTGGAGACAAGAATGGAAGGCACCATGGCTGAGGGAGGCTTCTCTCCTAGGGGAGAGGCAGAGAGCATTATTCCTCCTATGTGGCTGTTTAGGGGGTTGGAGGGACACACAGGTTTATCTATCTTACCCTTCATGTATTTCCCATAGAAAATCAAGCTGCTACTCATTGTCTGAGAAGCCTAAGTCTTCTAGAGAACTTGATTCCCTGTGCTGAGACACAGTTCTTACAGACCCTCCCCCGCAACTCACAAGAAGCTGGCCCTTTATGGCACCAGGTAAATAGGAAGCATCTCTTGGTGCAGGACAGGGCACCCTGCAAGTATTCAGGACTTGCTGCAGCTCATATAGCTCAGCTGAGGAACTACTATCAGAAATCCTGCCATCGCAACACTGATGTCCCCTGTCTTGGCAAACACATAGGACCTTGCATCAGAGAAGGCTTATTTCACAAAGCAATGTCTCTGTATCAACAATGCTGTGTTGCAGAACTCAGTATAAACCTATACCACTTCCTGACTGTGCATACAACGATATACTTTTTCATGGATGAGCCTAGAAAATAGGCAAGCTTGCCTTAACAGTAGTTTCTTCAGTTCCCTTCCTTCCCCACCCATCCACAATCAGCGTCACTATTTTTTTAGATCTCCAACTTCCCTAATCAGAAACCAAAACAAGGTGTTCTTTCAGTTCTTTTATTTACATAAAAGAACCAGTATTCTTTTATGTAAGTGCATGTGTGCACAGACACAGACACACCTGCCCTGAGGCTTAATCCTCTGTTAGTTTGAAACAAACTCCTTCTCAGCCAGACCTAGAAAAGGAAAGCGTGTCTCAGGTTTGTAGATACTCCTTGCCCAGTTGTGCATGGTCTGCATCTCCTGGCCTTGTTTTTTCATTTTTGGGAGTGAGAGTGCTCACCTGGCTTAATACTTCTGTTTGCTATGCAGAAATCAGCAAGTTCATTATTTAAAATGATCCCAGTTTGGTTAGAATACACAAAGGAGCCGAACCTGCAGGGGGGAAAGTAGCAGCTTTTCAGTCACCAGGAATATGCATATTCCTGTTGTTGATGACAGCAGCAGAAAACAGCACCCTGCAGGGTTGCCCCTGCCCCTGCCTACTGCCCCCTCATCCCAGCCTGGAACTGCCCCTGCTACAAAACATTTTTGTGCTACTGTGCTGGCGCTAGACATAAGCTCTCTGTTACTAGTAGATGTGGAGATCTGCTCAGCCCACAGAAACTCTTAGCAGAGCTCAACAAGTTGTTATGCTTTTGTGGAGGTCAACTGCGATGTTCCCTTCAGCTGATGAGGTCAACTGTGATGTTCCCTTCAGCTGATGCTCCAAGACCTGTACTCTTTCATGAAAAAGGCATTCACAAATAAGAGATATTCCCACTGTGTAAAGTAGTGAAGGCCAAGGTTTTTTTGCACTTCTGGTGCACAGCTCCTGCACGCACCCTGTGAGCATGGCCTATGTGATCAAAATGCCAGTGCGTTGGCTACTCACGGATAGTTGATGGTGCTGGTGGCGGACACGGCACTGCCATCCGCAGCGAGCACAGAAATGTGGGTGGTGCCCTTACTTTTGTATCTGTGGCCAGAGGTGGACTCCAACAAGTGGTAATGGTTGAGTGGATGGTCACCGTGGTCATCTATTCGGCTTCTGACAAGCTTAGCAATCTTGTCAGATAGCAGGGTCCCAACAGTCACCTGCAATCACAGCAAGGACAGTGCGCCTGCATCGCCAAAGCACAGACATGGCTTTCTGCAGGCACAAGGTTAGCTCAAAGTGTCAGAGCTTAGAAACCTGCATTGCCAGCATACAGCCTCAGTCTGAACCCCCTCATCACAGAAAATGAAACAAGCCCAGAACAGAGGCACCCCAGAGTTGGTATGAGCATGTGCATGTCCTTTATCAGGCAAGAGTAGAACCAGACTAGAGCTGAGCAGAAATTATGGACAATGCAAATGGGCCTTATCCTGCCTCCCCCTTGGCCAGTTGAGCAGTGCTGCTCTTAACTAGCAGTTCTAAGTATTTTCTTTCCTTCTCTGGCTGCAAAGCAGGTGGGTGTCAGAGCATCTCTTGGTGCTTTTGCATTGTGCTGGTGGGCAAGATAGTTGGCGGGGGTGGGGGGGGTAGTCTGCTTGAGGGCTTAGCACACAGAAGCCAAAACGTGTTTGTGACTTAAAGGCCAAAACAAAAAAGCAGCAGCACATGGACTTCCCTGCTTCTCCTTCGTCAAGTGGCAGTGCAGAATAAGCTGTCAGTGCTGCAGGTGTCTGGGGCTACCCTTACATAGCAGGCCAGCTTACCTGGGCATCAGAGAATGCGGGGTCACTCATATGAGGCCTTTGCATATTGCCAAACTTCAGGGCCTCTGCAATAAGATGGTAGTTCTCCACCTTCTCCTCAGGTGTCGCCAGTGACTCTTCACGGAACTTATACTCTACAGAGCAAGAGGAATTCATTTGGTTTAAGGACCCAAGGCAATATTACTTCAAGAATTGTAAAAAAAATATTGAAATAAACCTCCTTTTCCTACCCAGTTCTTACCTGGTTTCCCCCAACACGTGAGTAGGATGTGGGAACAGGGACAACCAAGTACTAATTTCTGTGGTGACTTTTGAAGGCTTAGGAAAACCATGTATCCTTTGCAGCAACTATAGTGATACTGACCCACAGCAAGAATGAGCCAGTTCCTCTCTAAAGTGCTCTAAGGTGTCATGCTGCAGAGCGTGGTCACGTTGCTGCTCTGGGGCCCATTCTGGCTCACCAACTGCATTTCTATCCACTGCTCTAGATGCAATGTTCCATGCAAACTTCTTGCTGTCCCTTTTCCCATACGAATTTACCTTCAAGTATCTTGAGGATGAACAGGAGCACAACTCCTCCCATGGGCGGTCCAGGAGAAAACACTGTGGTGTAATTGTTCAGGGTAATGTTCAGAGCTGAGGACACCTCTGCTTTATATGCCTTAAGGTCCTCCAGTGAGATACTGGACCCTTCAAGAGAAAATTGGAGGGGCAGTTAGCATCAGCACATTAATATGAACTTCTGGTAGGCGCTTGTATAGGCTGGCCACATCAGAACTTTGGTGAGACTTGTAAATGGTCCTCCTTGTATACTCCAAATTTCTTCCACCACGCACAGCAAAGTCTTCATATGCCCTCATCTACTACCAAACCCCAGGCCATCACGAAATCTAAGGGAGCTGGAGAAATGAGTGCATGAGGGAAGGCTCTGGGCTAATGCCAGAGCAGCAGGCTGGCTCTTAAGGCCTGTTATAAAGGACTGGGGAATGGTCACTCCTTCCCATGCAAGATAGCACCCCAAGTGGCAAGCAAATAGCATGTGTTGGCTTGCCCCTGCTGCCCACTCACTGCTAGCTAATGGCCAAAAATGTCTGGGATCTCTTGATCTAGGAAGATCACCTAAGCAACTGTACCTAAAGTAGGAAAAAAAGTTCTTGGCATGAGGCTATACTGAAGCTAGTGCTATGATGTCTGTACTGAGGGTGGCCACAAGACACAGATAAACTGAAGCAACCCACCTTGAGGCACATAAAATACAGTAATCTGTGGGTCTCAGCCTTCTACTGGCACAGAGCAAGTGAGTGTTGGGCCTTTCTTGGAAAATGTACTTAGTACAGACAAGGCTGCAGCCTGCCTCAGCAGGGACTTATTTTCCTACCTGAAAAAGGCTGTTCTGCCTAATTTTGCTGAGTCTGAGACAAATCCAGATACTTCCAAAGACCCCAGTGAATTTGACCAGAAAATATCTTGCCCAATATTTTCATAGATTTTTTTTTTTCCTTAGCTTGATGGTTATTGTCTGGAAAAAAAAAAGGTATTTTGATGTTTGGTCTCTCCAGATTTTGGGCCTGTCTGTAGATGCTGTAAGGCTATGACTGTGAGATATATATATATTTATATATATATATACTTACATATCAGGTGTCTTAAGAGGACTGTGGAATACACAAAACTGAAGTACCACAAAATACTTTTGAACCTCTTAGCTGTGGCCAGTGTTCTGAGCTTTGCCAGAATATGTCCTGCACCGTGGTTTCCTGGCAACACAATGAAGATGACAAGCACTTTGTAATTGCCAGGAATAAGCCTGTCTATTAGTATGAAATATAGCTGATACCTACCAGCCTTCCTCATGTCCTCCACCAGGGCCTTTCCTATCAGCCCCTCATAAAATGCCGACGCTCCCTTTTCTGCCACAGCTCTCAGTGTCTGCTGCAGTGCTGGCCATCTGAAGGTCTCTCCACGCTTCAAAAACCTTTGACCTTCACATATCAATGGGCTGTTAAAGAACATCGATCAGTTTGCAGCATGCGATTATTCTCTCCCCAGTGCCAATCTCTTTTCTACCCAAAGCTGATTTGGCTTATGTGTGTCTTGTACTTTCAGAGCCTGCACTACACTCCTGTCTATGAGGAGAAAAGCTCTTCTCAGCCAATCACTACCCCGCCACCCCGCATGGCAAGAAGCACTCGTTCACTAGATAAAGTTTCCTCTGCATGGACCTCAAGCTTTGACCCTGGCTCAAGTCAAAGGGGCTTCTCCAAATGAATGTCAGCTGTAGGGGCCTATTGTCAGGGGACGATTTCCACACTGCTGAGCTCTTTCAACAGATGGAGGCAGTCCATATATGGCCAGTCTCCTGGCTGTTATTCCTTATGAGCAGATGTGCTTAGTAGACTGTTTTTCTGTGCCAAGGCACTCTAACCCAAAAAAAAAAAAAAAAAAAAAAAAAAAAAAGTTGCTGACAGAAAAAGATTTTTCAAAAAACACATCTGCTATATCCCCCCGCCCCCTCTGGAATAGGTTTTTCCTCCCTCTTCACAGCAAATATTTACTCAGCAGCAGCAGCAGCAGCAGCAGCAGCCACAGCAGCCTGTGCTCCATGGGAGCATCAGAGGAAAGGTGTGAGCTGGGGACAACAGCGGTCCCGACAGTTCAGTTTAATCCATGGCTCTTACCAGAGGCTTCGTCCTAGTCTGGAGAAGCTTGAGTGACTGATAATTTTGTCCATAACTGGGGAAATGATAAGTGGCTCTGAAAGGAGCTTGATGGTTGGCTCAAACAGTGATTTCCATGGTAAGCGGCCATATCGCTTGTGGGCTTCTTCATACCCACGAACTTCTCCCGGTACAGCAATCCATTGGGGCCCTGAAGAGCAGAGGGACAATGTCATACCCACCAACACTGGCCAATGGGTTTCACGCCTCTGCAAGCACTCCAGTGAAAGTGTAGATCCATAGAGGCAGAACTAAGGCTGCTAAAAGCAGGCTTGGTTTTGTATTTCCTTTTTCTGTTTATTTATTTCCTCCACTACCTAATGGGAGGGGTATAGAGAAACGGGAGCCAGACTTTTCTCAGAGGTGCATGGCAAAAGAAGAAGTCATGGGCACAGGTTGCAGCAAGGGAGATTCCAAGCTGATACAAGGGGAAAAAGCATTCATGATGAAGCTGGTCAAATACTAGAACAGGGCCAAGTGAGGCTGTGGAATTCTCCATCCTTGAAGAAGTATAAAATGTGACAGGACAAGGCTCTGAGCAACCTGAATCTGACTTTGAAGGCATCCTGGCTTGAGCAGGAGCTGGAGAAGAGATCTCCAGTGGTCCCTTCCAACCTCGAGGAATGATTCTTGATTCCTTTTCAGACACCTCTTCTAAGAACATGAAAATCTCCTCCAGGCACTAGGACACTACCGAAAAGAAAATGTGTTAGGGAAGGAGAATGAATGCAGCAAGGAACGTGACGAGATCCAAGATGTGCTGCTAAAGCAACAGTGCCACTGTCAGACGAGTAATAGCAAATGGATCTGGGTCTCTGCAGATGGTATCGCGGTGGCAAGAGGTAGTTGAGCTGAGTTGGAGCACAGTGACTCAACTCCTGATTCTTCCAGGCCCCTTTCCCAGCTTAAGGACAGGGACAAGCACACCAGATTTACTTCTTTCATTTCCAGGGAATCTGAGCAGTTACTGACCATACTTTTCTCTGTAAGAACTGCTGGAAAATGAGGACTCTGAGAAATCTGGTCTTGAAATGCAGTCTTCCTCTGGAGAGTAATTACACATTGGTTTTGCCTCATGGTCTGCTCCCCACCCCCTTGGCTGGTCAGGGTGCCAGTTTTACTGCCAGAAAGAAATTTTATATAGGCCTAATTTTGTTTCGTACTTCTGCAAAAGTCAATGCAGAATGAGCGTGAGCAATTAAACAGGACTGCAGACCAGTAGCAGGGTGCCCAGTTGCCTGCAGCATTCTCCCCACCCCAAACTTTGTGCACCACTTGGTCTGAGGGGACACCGTCCACTCTCTGTCCTTACCAATAGGGACTTTACCACAGCCAGTCAACAAATCATGCGGAAACACTTGTGGGACTGTCTCGCGGGCATTGATCACCTCGACTGTTCCTAGAAATGAGAAGGGGAAAATGCATAACAGTGTCTTGCCAAAAGCAGGTGAACCTCACCGCCAGCTGACTGAGAGCACTACACATGGGCCAGCAGCTCAGAGGCCTGCTGGACTGTGCTACGGTGCCTAAAACCTTTTGCCAAACCTGTGGAGCACTCTTGCAGGCTCAGGCTGCTAGGCAGGAGTTGACAACTTTGTTGCTGCAGTGTTTATCCCCCGCATTTGTATTTTTTTTTAAAGACTATCCCAGCCCAAGTTTTTATGTCTTAAAATGAGATCTCTGCTGTGTCATCATGCCATGCTCTCTGCTTCACGCCAAGGCCCCGTCTTCCCACTGCCTTCCCTGCATGCACTGTCATTTGCTTCCATGCTCTTATTTAAACTGAACAGTGCAGTCCTAGAAGCAACGAGTTACAGGGACAAGGCCAGGGCCCAGGCCCCCACAGCATGGGTATGCATAGTTGTGGCCTAGCTTGCCAGGCGTTATGACCTGAGGCAGCTTCCTGCCAGTGCTATTAAATCACCAGGATTAGGTAGCTAGTCACGAGAGCCCAGTGGATCCCAGCACAGGCACTTGAATGTGATAAAGATCCACCAACGCCCGGGATCTTTTCCCTTTCCCCTTTGCAGGATCCAGGCGGGAATTAACCTGGCGCTGGGGGAGAAGGGCAGAAGGAAGACGATACTGAAAAACCCTCTATATATCAGGAAGCTTGAAAGAAAAAAGAAAAAAAACCCTCTTATTTCAGTTCTACCCTAATTATCCTTCCTCCTTCTCCAGCTTGTAACTATCCTTTTCTGTCATAGGCCACAGAGCTGGCAGCACTGTGGGAGCCCATGGTGCTACTGTACCAAGCATCTGAGCCTGGCTCAGCTGTGTGTGGCTCTGCATAACTGGATAATTCAGGTAGCAAAAGAAGAGAAGGTTTGTTGATACAAGCAAGATTACATGTCATTGTCAAAAGGGAAAAAAAAATAGGTGCTTTGCCAAAACAACTATTTCATAAGATGCAGCAAGTAATTCCAGACTTGTGATTCTGTGGAACTACTTTGAAGGGTTTTTTTTTATTATGACATTATTATTGTTTTCATTGTTGATTTTACTATCTAGTTCTATAGGCTCTGGGGGGTTTTGATAGCCAAGGCCATTAAAAAAACATTAAAAATGTAGAAGCAGGAACACAACAACACTAGGGGTTAAGCCAAACACAGGAGGGCTTCCCGGCAGGCCCAGATAATTGCTGGATTTAGCTTTCTGAGGGGAAGACACATTCCCCTGGGGCAGGAAGTCTTATCAACACTTTGAGAAATCTGACCTGTTCCAGCAAGGATGGTGTGAGATGCCTAGTGCCAGCAGGCACTGCCTGAGCAGTGAACACGAGGTGCAGGATGGAGCCCCTGAAGCCCCAGCCCAAGGGCTGAGCCAAGCCAGCAACAGCCCGGGCCACCGCACTCATGACCAGCACAAGCACCTCCTTCCGCTGCCGTCTGCCTCCATGGCAGCACGGGCAGCACAGCAGCAACTCGGACAGCACCACTCACACCTTGCAGCATGGGTCAGACACATGACTTTGAATTATAATTTGAGGTTGCTTTGGAGGGGGAAGGAGAGGCAAAATCAGTTCATTTTAAATCTAAAGCTCCTTCCCCGCCACATGCTCTTGCTGTGAATAACTGCACTCTTCAGGCCCGTTCTACAAAAGCTGCCAGGATAGCTCCTGTAACGGACTCTTTGGGCTAAGAGCAAAAGCCTGTTTTGTGATCGGAGCAAGCTATTTTTATATTAAAAAAATGCACAGAGAGAATACTAAGGATGCTGGCTTCTCCATGGCTGCTGGGTGTCTGCAGGGAGACGGGTTGCCATGGAGAGGCCAGGGCCGGACCATACCTGTGCTGGCATTATAGACTGTAAAGATGACCCCGCCACCCAGGCCTGAGCTCTGAGGGTTCATCACCGAGGTGCAGATCAAGGCAGCAATAGCAGCATCCACAGCTGTGCCTCCACTTTTCAGGATGTCCCTGCAGAGGAAAGGGAGAAGAAAAGATGATGTTAAAAGCCAAGAATGACAGAATGGAGGAGCCACTTGAAAATGTCTCCTTAGGGCAAGTGCAAGGCAGCCCCAGCGGGACAAGAGAAACCAGCAATGGGTAAAAGCCATTGGCAGCAGTGTGGTGCATGAGAGTCGGGTAAGGCCCCTTCTTTTGGGAGAGTGGGACAGGGAGAAGGAAAAGTAGATGGGAAAGAAGTGAGATAGTCTGCAGGAGGAAAGAGCTGCAGCGGGGGCAGACCTACACAAGGTTCCTGGAGCACATGCTGGGAACCAAATAATTCATTTCTGGCTCTTCACCTGCCTTTCCCGGTAAAACGTGCATGCTGGACAACAGGAAGGGGCACTGAAGCAGGAACGACAAGTCAGTAGGAAGCAAACTCTTGGGAATGAACCTTTCAATTAGCACAAAATTCAGGCCTTCAGCTCTCCCACAGTGTGCCTTCCTGGGCTTACATGGTATCAGCACAGAAATCTCACCCCCTCCCTATATCCCCAAAGGCAAAACAATACAAGCAGAACAAAAATCCAACTGTTGGTACCTAGGCACAGCCACACCAGAGAACATACACGGGGATTAAGGCAGCCTCATGCTGCTGACAGCAAGGAGTTGCTGCTGGAGAAACTTGTCTCAACAAAAGCTTCCTTCAAACATAGCTATAAAAATCTTTTCCTTGCAGTGGAAATGTGGTGGGATAGAGTTTCCTCATGCAGCCTGCCAGCAGCCAGCACTGTATTTCCTAGGAGGGCTTCTGACTCGTTGCGCTCGGGTATTGCTCAGATAAGGCAAAGCCAGAAGGGAAGGAGTGCAGTAGCTCATTATCTGGAGTGTAACTGCTCCCGGAGGCTGTGACAGGAACAGTAAGCACATATAGGAACAACTTTATTTTACATCCATTGATGTAGTTAGGACCTGCTGCAACTGGGAACAGGATGCTGCGCTGCATGCACACTGATTGTGCCTTTCCTTTGTTTTTGTAAGCGCCCTTGGAACTGTCACTTGCAAGGAAATGGCATGTGGACAAATGGGGAGAAAAGAAGCCGTAGGGAACCACCGGGCTTTCTGCTCTGAGTCCTGCATGGCTTTTAGCCTCCTAGCAGCAAGCTACTCCCTAGCTGTTGTCCTGAAAACGGAGGCTGGTGCCTCAGGGTTCCTCTCCTGTTCATCTCCTCTCTGCAGGGATAGGATTCACTGCACTCATGTTGCTGAAGAGCTGAAGATTCTTAATCAATAACAATAGCAAGGAAGCTCCTTGAGGTTCAATGGTTGTCCAAATCTTTCACCATGCCAGGACATAGGAGAAGAGAATAGAAACAAGCTATATCTTCCACAAACAACTTGTGGGACTGCTTTGCCAGAGAGTGTTGTATTTGCATCTGTCATTACCAAGGACATGCAAGACAAGTGTTTTTTTTTTTGAGTTTGGGACCTGAGCAGAGCAGGAAGGGTGTCCCTGCTGCTAATGACCTGCACCTTGGAGCTCCAGATTCTGGCCTGGCTCTGTTAGCTACCTTGCCCTTGGGGTATCTAACTGGTCCCCTCCCAGTGCCTAGCTTTAAAACAGGGAAAAAACTCTCTCCTCTGCAATGTGTCTGGACCTTAATAAAGAGTGATGGCAAAACTTTAGGAGAGCCTTGGCTAGCTGTGACATGCAGCTACTTATTCTAGAATGGCACCTTCATGCGTTCCAAGCTTGCCTCAGCCTGAACCATTTTCACCTTCCTACTTGTTCATAGATAGAGACCTTCAAACACAATTTAATACCAAGAAGCATTAGGATTACACTGTTTGGCTGGAAATAACACAAACATCTCCAAGTGCCTTACAAACAGCACATAGCCCTGAAAGTACCCAGAGGATTTGAGGGCTGACAAGAGTTATTGGAGGATGATAAGCAGAGAAGTGAAGAACTGAGATTCTACAGAAAGTCACAAAAGGTGTGTGCAGACCACCTTGCTACATTTCTTGACCTAACAGACTTCTGCCAAACTTCAAAACCCCTCAATGCAATCAAACTTTAACATCAAAAATCAGACACATTTCTGACATTTTCCCAAAGCCAGAAAAGCTCCAGATCCTCACTCGAGTTTCCAGCCACACTTACAGGTCAGCCCAGTGTTCGCACATCCTGCACACCCTCTTGTCCAGGGACCTTGCTGCCACTCTTTCTGAGGCCAGTGCCACACATCCCTCACCACGTTCCCAGAAACGTTTTTGCCCTAGTGCAAGGAGGAGCACACCCTGATGACGTTCCCTGTCCTGTCTGTATCCCTGGTGATGGTCATCTACCTGTTCCGAAAGATGAGTGGTTTCTCCCCCTGCCCCCAGTTCCAGGAGCTGTGCCATGCCAACATGCTCTGCACTGGAAAGGCTTAGCATGCTCCAAAGGACAGCCACAGTTTATTAATTTAATATCTGTACAGCTGGATGGCCTGTTTCCAGCCTCTGGATGATGCTAAGACCTTCCAGTGTCCCCAGATACTTGTTTATAGCAGCAACATTGTGGGCTAAGTGCTCTTTAACTACTTCAAATGCAGTGCTGTATGTACAAAGCATGTAAACCTGAGAGTTTCTTAACATGACCTTATCCTTGCCCCCCTCCCTCCAACACTCCCAGTTAGAAACAGAGCCAGGATAACACAAATCAGGTAAACTCCAGTTCACAGCTCTGTCTTTGACTCTGACTGAAATCAGGGAGTAGCAGACTTCTCCAGGTAGCTGATCCCTAGACTGTAACTCCCATCGATGAAAGGTTGAACCTCACACAGAATCATCAGGAGCATCAAGGAAGAGGTGAGAGGAGGAGGCTCATGGGCAGGTGGGGAGGACTGCAGCAGGGCTGCTGGGACAGAGGCATCCTGCCTGGCAGCACCCAGGCAAATGGAGTGCTCGTTTATCGGCTCTAAATTAGGCCGCCTGACAGTTTTCAGATGGGTTATGCACAAAACACTGAATTTGAGAGTGCCCTGGGAAGGCAGGAAAGGCAGAGATGGTCTTCACTGTTCCTGCTCTGTTCCTGACTCTTGGCTGGGATTCCTTGGTGCTACTGCAATATAGAGTAAAAATAACCACGCTAGCAGCCAAGACAGGGACACCTTTCCATGGCAAAGCAAAACATGTTTTGCTTTGACCATGGTCAGTAACCCTCGTTAACCACATTCTGTGATATAAACAAGATGAGAAGAAATATATAATTTCCAGATGATCCCAAAGTGTTTTATATTCTTGTTTACTGAGTATACTATTGGTGACTGTCACTGTCAGCTCTGGAGGTAAATACCACATCTAGCAACACACACACTCAAAGCTGGTTCTTGCTCAGGGAATGGAGGATTTTGCAGGTGGCTGCTGACTTTCTGTGAGCATCAGGGCTGGAGATCTAAGGCTCCCCGTCCAGCAGCTCAGTATCTGAGAAAATCTCAGTATGGGATGGAATATGTGATGCTGGCCATTGAAAAAAGCTGCAGCGTGACCCTTAGCTAGCTGCTTCTTTAGTGGATGGGAGCAGGGGAGAAGGGGAGCTGAGATTTTCCCTCAAAACTAGGCACTATCTTGGCTCTCAGCAGCCTGGCAGGAAGCACTCCCAGCCCTAGGTTTTACAAACGCTTCTTGGAGGGGCTCACTCACTGCACTGAGGCTGCTTCCCCAACTCGGGGGATGTGCATGCCTACCTGTTTCTCACTTAAACCCCATTACTCCTGGGGTCCCATTACACCAGGCAGGTGTGGTGGTAGCTAAGGAAAAGGAAAAGCAAAAGTCTTACAGTCGGGCTTTTAGCACAAAGCTCAGAAGCAACTGGTCCCAGCAAGGGCAAACCGGATTGGGATTGAGCCCCTGGTCTCAACAGCTTCGCATTCCCCCTCTAGCATCTCTGAAGCCTGAAACAGAAGGGCAAGTGGTCCCTGAGCTGCTCTTGGTCTGTCACAGTCCCTCATGTAGTGATCCAGCCAGAGCTCTGCCATGTCCTTGCAGGTGCCTGGGGAATTTAGGGCCATTACTTCTTTCTCAACCAGCCAGACAAACGGAGTTCTCCCTGGCTCACCACGTCGCTCCCTTTCTGTGGATCACTGGTACAGCCAGACTAATTACAATGCAAAACCCTGGTGATACATATAACCCCTCAAGCAAAGCGTTCTTGTACCTGAACAGCTCTCTCTAGAGATGTCTTAGCAGTACAGCTGATAAGATCTGATACCAAGATGTTTTGTTCCAATATCCTTCCTGCCACACAATTCAGCTTTAGAGTTCAGCCATTAACAGTAGTTCCCTAATGTTAAGAACAGAAGAGGATGTTAGCAACCAGCACGCAGTCCAGCAGCAGCTGAACAGCCAACACGGCTCGCTCTCAGGAAGGGTGACTTCTGGTACTTTGCTCACATCATCCCTGCAGCAAAGAGGGGCAGCACTGGCCTGCAGGCTGAGCCTGCTGCTCTGCTCTGGACTAGGAGGAGGAGCCCTGAAGCCATTCTGACTACTCTGGAAATGCTGAGGTAGTAGGTGATACTCAGAAAATCTTTCTTCTGTTACTGCAAGCTGGGGGTTGGGAGGAGACCACCCACCACATGGGAGCCTATGATTTACTAAGAGTCAAAGTAACAGCTGTTTTTGTGGAAGGGTCAGTTGCTAAATTTAAAACTACCAAAATACAAGAAGAAAGGAAGGCAAATCCTTTGGGATATAAAGATTCTTCAGAAATGCTGCTGGGCTATCATGAAAAGGATTTTTTTCAGCAGATCCTCTGCCTACAGCCGAGCTTCCCAGGACCATGAACATCATCTGACTGCTAAATTGTCAGCCTCTCCACCGCCCCATCCCCGAGGCGGACATTCGTTTCAGGAGAAGCCAATTCCCAGAGCTTACATTTGCAGACACTGGGGAAGTGAGATCAGAGACAGCTACTGGGCCAGTCAAATCAGCTCATGTCGCTGCAGCAAATCCCACTGCTGGGAATAAGCACTTTTCCTAAATAT